TTCTGTGCACAGAAATCACTCAGCATATTTGAAAGCACAAACAGCAAAAACTAGGCAGATTTAGAATCATAGAATCATAGAATGCTTAAGGTTGGAAGGGACCTCTAGAGATCATCTAGTCCAAACCCCCTGCACACGCAGGGTCACCTAGAGCACATGGGACAGGACTGCATCCAAGTGGGTTTTGAAGATCTCCAGAGAAGGAGACTCCACAACCTCTCTGGGCAGCCTGTTCCAATGCTCTGTCACCCTCACTGTTAAGAAATTTTTCCTTAGGTTCCTGTGGAACTTTTGGTGTTTCAGTTTGTGGCCATTACCTCTGGTTCTGTCGGTGGCCACCACTGAAAAGAGACCAGCACCATCTTCTTCACTCCCTCCCTTGATACTCCAGATGTGGCCTCACCAGGGCTGAGTAGAGGGGCAGGATCACCTCCCTCGACCTGCTGGAGATGCTCTTCTTAATGCACCCCAGGATCCCATTGGACTTCTTGGCCACGAGGGCACACTGCTGCCTCATGGTCAACTTGTCGTCCACCATGACACCCAGGTCCCTCTCTGCAGAGCTGCTCTCCAGAAGGTCAGTCCCCAGCCTGCACTGGTGTGTGGGGTTATTTCTTCCCAGGTGCAGAATCTTGCACTTGCCCTTGTTGAATTGCATGAGGTTTTTCACTGCCCAGTTGTCCAGTCTGTCCAGGTCCCCGTGTACAGTGTGTTACATAGGTTTGGATATTGTAACAGTACCTACACACCTCCTAACTACTGTGAGAAAAAACAAAATATTTTTTCTGGTCTTACTGCATAAGTAAGCTCTAAGAAATTAACTTAAAAATGTACCACTCAAAACAAAATATTAGTTCATAGTTTTCTGCCATAAAAGAAAAATATTTTTAAACATCTTTTCATGATAAATATCCAAAATACGTTTTTTAAAGAAAACTATTTTTATCAATTTTTAGAATCTTTTGGTTTTGCTAGTGAACAGAGATTTTGTTCCTGGAACTGCTGCTTTTCAGACCTCACAGATACTCATGCGGAGCTCCTGATTTCCAATGCGATTAGATTGCTCTCTTCCCCGAAAACCAAAGTGGCAAAGACAAAACTAAGACACCTTGACCACTCTTGTTTGCAGGAATTAAAAGCTACTTACTGTCATAGTCTCCACTCTGGTCTTTTACAGATTTTAATATGAAAAAATAATAATGAAAAAACTCCAATATTATATGCATAAGGAGACTGCAACAGTAGCAGTGTTTGTTTTAATAACAAAAGTCTATGTAAAAAGGAGGTAAAGGTCACATGGGAGAGAACAGGGTATATCTGTTACTTTAGAGCAGGACTATTTTAAAATGAGATGTATTAAATAGGAATAAAACCTACCTTTTTTTCTCTTAGATATGTAAATAAATATACTGTAATTGCTTCCTTATAAGCCTTCAATTTGCTTATGTTAGATCATAAGCAATTTTCCAAAATGAACATAATCCCTTTTAGTGCATTCTTGAACATGTGTCTGTATTACAAAACCCAGGAAAGATTCTGCCATTTCTAAAAGAGCAGTGAACAGAGGTAAGTTTGGCTGCTGTTCCAATAAGTCTAGAACAGAATAGGGTTAAGAAGCAACACACCATAGTTTTGGAACATATTTGGCAGCAGTAAATGGTAAAAGATACTGTGATTTCTATTATTTTTCAACAAGCCATTCTTCTTTGATCTGTCTTCAAGAAAGAAAAAAAACACTTGGTCTTGAAAGACCAAGATTTACTACATTGAGTACTCAGCAAAATATGAGATTTGTTTATTTATTTATTTTGAGATACAGCTAGATTTGAGAACACTTAAAAAATATCAAATGACGTCCTTTTCTGAAATGACTTATAAATCTCATACTTATAACAATTATTTCAGATCAAAAACAAGGTGATCCCACCACCGTAAAACCAAAAATGTTCTTACTGCCTCCCCCCCTTTTTTTCTTTTCCCATTTTGGACCTTTTGAATGAACTTTGATATAAAAACTGTGTGTTTTATTCATCATTCTGTACAGCTGGAAAGCTTAGAACCCTTAAAGCAGCTTCTTCCTTTGTCTTGTGGACTGCTGTAATGTCATCTATTGGCTTGTTGGAACTGTTCTTTCCCTGCTTTTTATTTGTTTCCATCTTAACAAGTGTATTTCGTGGTTGGACTAGTATCTAATTCATCTCTCAGCAAAGAGTGGCTGCAAAGGAAATATATTCTAGAATTCCTGGCCGCAAAAGCTTTCAGCATGGTCTACTGCAGTGATCTGTAGCAAGACGAAAACCATACTGAGTAGTGCCAATTTCATGTTGTACAGCTACATCCAGCCTAGCTTGGTTTGGGTTTACTCTTTTTCTCTTGGCATTTCGTCCCAGGGGAGAGAATCCAGTATGTAGTCATGATTCCCAGTTAATTTTGAAATATGAAATAACTGAGACATTTGGACTAACATTTTTACTAATGTTAATCAAAAGTCAGAGGCTATTTGACTCTTCTTCCTGCGAGCTTATTCTGTAGCTCAAGCTTGTTAACCATTTGCAGTGCAGCGTAACACACTAGAATCACCTCATCCTTAAAAGCAGTTGTCAGAAAAATATGGGCCTGCCTGGTAGAATGTATTAGCCCAATACATTGTCTCCATTTTATTATGAAGCTGCTGGGGAAGCTGTGATATACAGCACTGTCATTACAGATCTATTGTTAGAAGGATTCTACAGTCTTCTGTGCACTGCCATTAATTTATAGCAGTAAACAATATGTAGCCCTCCAACTGCAGCAAAGCAGAATCTTTTAATGAGGTGGATGTTATTACCACAATAAATCAGTGCATTCGTGTAATGTATAATTCAATGTGTGTATTCCCACTGTAACTTCTCTGAGTAAGCTGATAGTGTATCATTGTCATTGCACAGCTCCATGGTTCTTTTTTTTTCCTAAGCTTTCTTTCATTTGGGGACTTTTTTATTTCCTTGCAAATAAATGTGACATGTCTTGATAGTTGTCCTGTTGCAGGCTTCAGAAACCAACTGTAACAATAACAACCAAAATCAATACTGTGTATTCTGGCTATATGGATCTCTGCATGATACCTATTTTTTTCTTTTTTTGAAAAGGGAATGAAATCAATTCTAATTGGTTTAGCTTTATATTCAAGGAATGTAATTCTATAACTATTGATTTGGACCACACTCATTTGGAGAGTAATAAAAATAGGGATAGATAAAGTGAATATATAAAATGTTACAGAGCTATACAGCACAATGCTGTTTCTATTTTTAATTCGTATAATTTGTCTACCAGTGACCTTCTTTCTTCTTTTTCTTTTCCCCTCAAACATAGCTGAATCTTTAGGGAAAATCAGTACAGATGGAGATTCCAAAATGATTCTTGCAACAAAGAGACTTCTTGGAGTCAGTTTCATTCTTCCCTGGAATAAATTTGCTAAATCAGATAAAAATCCTATTATAAAGGAACCACTCTTGTAGAGGGTTATATTTCAAATTAGTAAACTGCAAAAATAGTAATTAACCTAAGATGTTTTCTTTCTCCTACTGCAATGTGAAAGCAGCTTTAAGTAAAAAATGTAAGGTTAGATCTTAGGTCATTCATAGATTGAATCCGTCCTGGCAGAGAAAATACTTTGAAGCTTGTATGTCAAATTTTGTGTGAGCTGCAGAGAAGTAGATACTTGAATAATAATATTCTCAATAACAGACAGAGTTTTTCACTTGAACTGTACTTGAGTTAGTAATCAGGTTATTGATTGTTACTTTTGCTCTGATACTTTTTTAAAAATCTTTACCAGGCCCTTGTGGGGTATTTTTATTTATTTATATATATATATATATATATGTAAAATATATGCTTGTATATTATAGATTTTATATATATATTATATACAGAAGTATATATAATAATATAAAAAGTATATTCTTGCAGGACAAGAACAAGATAATATTTTCATTAATTTGTTCTTCAGTTACACTTGGATGCTTCCATTGTTTTTGCAGAAGGGCATTGCTTACATTAATAGCATACAAAGAGTGTGCTGCGTATGTATGCAAAATTGTATTGCGTGTTTTTTGTAAACATATATACCAAGATATTTTCGACCTCTTACAGCATTAGATATGTGGAACTGCTAAAGTTCACCTTTGGGTTTCTCAGTGATTTATGTAGAGTATATTCATTTTTCCAAATCCTTTGTGTAAAAGCTAGTCTTCTGAAGAAATACATGGTTATATATACCAAAACATTGCATTTCTTACGTTTAAATAAAACCGAGGGTATTTATCTTACAGCTTAACAAAGGGCTTAACAAAGAATAAAAATGCTGGTGAAAATATGATAGACTTTTTTTAGTCATACATATGTTATTTGTTTCTTCTTTTTAATCCATACTTTTTATACAGATATTCTGTCATATGTCTACTTCTCCTATAATTCTTTCTGTTTTTTTCCTACGATAAATGCAACTATGTTAAGCATAACTTGTTTTGGGATGGTAAATAAAAAACATACAAAGAAGAACCGTGATATTGAGATTCCAAGTGCACTGTTGATATTCTTCCACCCTGCCAGTCTTTTTTTTTTTTTTCCCCCCCACCAAGATACCCAAGATTTTCTTGGTTATTGCTTACAACTCGTTCAATTTTCTGTTCATACACATTCACATGTACCAGTTAATCAGTTAACTCTTCTTTGTGCAAGACTCACTGCTGTGAAATAGTTTTGAATGATTAATTTGAATCAATAGTAAACAGAAATTAAACCTCTATGGATGAAAAAGAGACTTAGATCGCATCACCTGTGTGTGCATGTAAAATCCTGGTTTGAAATCCACAGGCCTATTCATCTGCTGAAATCCAGTGTCTGCCTTTTCATGTGTGCTGGTAGTTCTAGTTACTGAAAAGAACAATTGGTGAATAGGTAATAGGTGTTTTTATCTTTATTTACTTACATATTTATTTTCACAACTCTTGCAGCCTATTGGAGCTTTGAACCCAAAGAGAGCAGCATTCTTTGCCGAGCGATATGAATCATGGGAAGATGATCAAGTTCCAAAGTTTCACTATGGCACACATTACTCAACTGCAAGTTTTGCACTCACGTGGCTACTAAGAATTGTAAGTATATCTTTTAAAAATATTTTTCTTTTAAGTGATAATGAAATCCACAGACAGGAATAAATAAACTAAAACCCAATGACACTGATAATTTCTAGTAACTGTAATCAGTAACTTAGTTTGATTTTCAAAGATAAATCTATTCTAAAGTTTGAGCAGGAGCTTTTAATTTTTATGGTACAGCCTTTTCAAATAAGTAAAGCTTTTCCTCCTTAAGCTATGCTTTTTAGTCAGTGTTCTTATGTTACTTTAAAGGCGCTTAACTTTCCTTCCTCGTGTATTTTCTGAAAGGACATACAGTGAACATTTGTTGTTCTTACTGAATGTATTTAGTTCTCACCTCTTAATGAGTTTAATCGAATTGTTTTCTGATGATCCTGAAATTCTATAATGTAAATAATTTATTTTTAAAGACCTGCTGCAGTTTATACTGAGGTAACACTGGACATATTTTGTATTGATAATATATTGGTTAAACAATGCCTTTTTCTATAAAATTGAAAGGCAATTTATCTCTTAGAAAGTAATTTCTTTGGGAAGGCCTTAGCAGCACATCATTAATTAAAGCTTGTTAGAACAGTACAAGCATACATAAATTCTTGAAGTAATTTATAGTGCTTAGCTAATTTCAAGCAATTACCCACTAATATGTTCTTAAGTGTTCTTTAACTAAGAGGAGGCTTTTAAATCTTTCAAATATTTTTCTTTTCTAAGTCATAAGTTACATATTAAACAATAACAATCATAAAGCTATCAATATCAAATACATTCATAGATTACCTTGACCAAAATAATATGCATATGTTATTTTTTGTAACATGTTTAAAAAATCCAACATAAAAACGTTGAACTTTTCCATAATGTTTTTGAAGGTAGTTTTTGCCTCAGTTGACTGTAGCTTCTCCTGCAAATGTTTTCTTAAATTTCAATTTGCTTTTCTTTATCTGAGTATCTCTGCATGGAGTACAAATAAAATGCATTTCTCGAAAAACAAATCAAAAAACATATTATTTTGTATTCCTTATTCTTAGGTAATAGAATTAATCCTTTGCAGCTAACCATTTATTTGCCAGTAGAATAGCATCATTAATAATCAAAACAATAATAAATCTCTTTTTCCTGAAATTCCTAAATGAAAATACTTTTTTTTTTTTAATAGGAGCCCTTTACAACGCTTTTCCTGAATCTGCAAGGTGGGAAGTTTGATCATGCAGATAGAACGTTTTCGTCTATTTCCAGAGCATGGCGCAATAGTCAGCGTGACACCTCTGATATCAAGGTAAAAACGTTCCTGAAAGCTGTTGGCATATTTTGTACTTTATGTGTCCATATTGTAGTTGTGATTGCAGGACTGCAGGTTGTGAGGAAGGGGAAGGAGGAGATTGGGAAATATCCTATCCTTTAGGAAAAGATTCAAGGAAGTCAAGGAAGATGACAAGTCAAGGAAGTCAAGGAAGATTTACTTCTGTAAGACTATTTCAGTGGTTTATCTTTTGCAAAATCCTAGCAAATCTTTTTAGCCCTGAGTCTTAAATAAGGCAATATTTGCTATAAAATGCTGTAGATATGCTTTAGTACCTATTCCTCTGCACGGGTTTTAATCCTTTGAAAAGTCAGAAGCAACTAGCATAGATTTTTAAATACCGAATTTCAAGAATGTTCTCTCCATGCTTGCATTTCATGTGTGCTTCTGCTCAGCTCAGAGCAGCTGACTGTATATCAGTGTATCAGCTGTATACAACTCACTGTATATCTTTGTTATGTTAGATCTGGGCATCTGACTTTATTTTTCTGTGCAGTCTGTGCATTGGCTTCTTTTTCCTTAATTTACTATGACAAATGGAAGGAGGAAGTTGTGCTAGTTCAAATGTAGAAGGGTTAAAATCTAGTCTTATGATGAGGAAAGAGTAAATAGGGGGATAAGGATGAGAGGGAGATCTGGAAGCAATTTCCAGAAAGTGTGTATATTAGGTAGAGAAATAATGGGCTATGGGAAGCCATTGATTGAGGAGACTAAGATGAGAGAGAATTTAGGATGAAATTGAAGCTGGTGAGTGAACGTGAGAAAGGTGGGAATAGAATGCAAATCAGTCTGGTAATGGAACACTGTAAGGAAGGACACCTAGAATTAGGTCTTGGGTCAAGAAGGTAAGATAGGTGCACAAAGCAAGTCTAAGGGCAGTAGATTAGTTAGGTAACCACTGAGGGAGAGAATGAGGTGGACCATTTAGAGGGAGGATTTGGGCATGTTGGAAGAGTTGGGAAAGGAG